CAAACAATAATTTTAATGATATTTGAGGGAACTATCTTTTTAAAGAATGTCCTGGGAAAGAATTTATGGACCCTTCCCCCTCCAAAAAAAACTCCCAGATAAATTACTAGCTAAAAATATCACAATTTCAAAAACTTTACCTGAATTAATTAAACAGAATAAGATTCTGTATTTTTTTTTAAACAAGAAAAAAACTAGGCTTGATTGATTTATGGCAATACTGAGGTTTTGAACTTGGGCATTTTGTTAGGCAGGTATCTTATCATTATACAAATGTGTTACTGTATTGTACATTTTATTTATTTTTTTTTTTTTTGAGTCCAGTCGTGGGGCCTGAACTCTGGGCCTGGACGCTGTCCCTCAGCTCTTCAGCTCAAGGCTAGCGCTCTACCACTTGAGCCACAGCGCCACTTCCGGCTCTTTTCTTTTTGCTTATGTGGTACTGAGGAATTGAACCCAGGGCCTCAGGCATGCAAGGCAAGCGCTCTACCTCTGGGCCACCTTCCCAGCCCTGTATTGTACATTTTAATAAGGATGGAATACCAAGATATATTTTCCTACAGTTAAAATTTAATAATGGGGAGGTAGGGACTGGGGTGTAGCTCAGTGTCAGAGAAATTGCCTAGTATACATTAGACCCTGTGTGCACACACATGTGTACACACACAGCACATATGGGGAGGGGCAGGGGGAAGTAGCTCATCTGCAATTCTAGCTAGATCAGAAGGTAGGTGGGAAGATGGTGGTTCAACATTAGCCTAGGCAAAAAACTTCACAAAACTTCATCTTAACCAATAAAAATCTGGGCATGCTGGTAGCCATCTTTACAGCTACATAGAAACCATACATAGGAGGATCAAAGTCCAGGTCAGCTAGGGCATAAATGCAAGATCCTATCCCAAAAATAACTGAAGGAAAACAGCACAAGCATGGCTCAAATGGTAGACTGTATGAATGCTTGCCTAGTAATCACAAAGCCCTAAGTTCAAACTTAAAAATTTTTGTGGTCCTTTATATATAAATTTTAAAGGGTCATGACATAAAGAAGCTTGAAAACCTCTATAGTAATGTACTTATTTCTATATGTCACATGAAAGAAACAAAGAGACCATGTGAAGGGTGTTTTCACATTTCTTTTTTTTTTTTTTTTTTTTGGTCCGGTCGTGGGGCCTGAACTCTGGGCCTGGGCGCTGTCCCTCAGCTCTTCAGCTCAAGGCACCACTTCTGCCTTTTTTTCTTTTTGCTTATGTGGTGCTGGAGAATCGAACCCAGGGCCTCATGCATGCAAGGCAAGCACTCTACCACTGAGCCACCTTCCCAGCCCCATGTTTTCACATTTCTACATAGAATTGTATATCCTATTTATTCCAAATTATTTCCACCAATGACTATTACATTAATCCAAAGTACTTATTTTAGAATATGTAAAACAAAATCACAGCTGAGAATTGGTAATCCTAGCTACTTGGAAAACTGAGAATGGGAATAACAAGGTTGGCCCAGGGAGAAAAATTCACAAGAGTGCCTCTCTCAATACATAGCTGAATGCAGTGGAATACATCTGTCATCTTAAATTACATGGGTGGTTGAGATTGGGTGAATTACTGTTCCAGGCTACTCAGAGCAGAAAAGTCCAGGATTCTCCATAACAACAAAGAGAAGCCAGATGTAGTGGCACATGCCTGTCATCCCAGCAATAAGAAGCCTAAAATAAGCAGATCAGGGTTCAGGAATAAACCATGGCAGGAAATGAGAGTGTATCTCAAAGATAACTAGCAAGGGTGAAGTTATGGCTATGCAATAGAGTGCCAGCCTATTAAGCTTGAGGCCCTGAGTTAAAACCTTAGTTCTCTGGGCATATGGCTTAGTGGTAGAGTGCTTGCCTAGCATGCACGAAGCCCTGGGTTCCATTCCTCAGTACCACATAAACAGAAAAAGCTGGAAGTGGTGCTGTGGCTCAAGTGGTAGAGTGCACAGAGGCCCAAGAATAGAGCCCAGGCCCTGAGTTCAAGCCCCAGGACTGGCAAAAAAAAAAAAAAAAAAAGATCTCACTACTGTCAAAAAAAGAACACAATGAAACTTTTTGAAGTATTTTTCACATAGAAATGAAGATACTGTCTTATAACCTGTTTTATTCACACCAATAACTGTATAATCACAAACAAGCTACTCAACAAGGAGCTACTATTCCCTCATCTATAAAACAAAACATTAACTGTGGGTAGAAGCTACGCGGGAAGTTCTAGCTACTTGGGAGACTAGACAGAATCCTGCCTAAGCCTAGGAATTCAAGGTCAGCCTGGCAAACAGCTAAACTTTGGAGAGAGGGAGGGGGGAGGGAGAAAAGGAGAGAGAGAAACAGACACATACACATATACATCACAATACCTGTATCTCATTAAGTTCTTGAGATGTCAAGAACTTAGATAGAGCCCAATGGTGGCTCGTGTTGTAATCCTAGCTACTCCTACTCAGGAAGCTGAGATCTGAGGATCATGGTTTGAATCCAGCTGGGGCAGCAAAGTCCATGAGACTCTTATCTCCAATCAGCTACTCAGAAAAACCTGAAAGTGGCACTGTGGCTCAAGTTGTAGAGCACTAGCCTTGAACACAAAGAGGCTCAGGGACAGTGTCCAGGCCCTGAGTTATGACCAAGACCAGGAAAAAAAAAAACTTAGATGAGTCGCACTAATTCCAGATACTCAGGGGCTGAGGTCTGAGGACTGAGGTTGGAAGCCAGCCTGGCAAATAAATTTAAGAGACTCTTAACTCTAATAAATCAGCAAAAAGCCAGAATTGGAGGAAAGGTTCAAGTAGGAGAGCACCAGCATTAAGCTACACAGCTAAGCAAGACCTTAAGACCCTAGTACAGGCACATGCCTTATAGCCCAACTTAGTCCTTCAGTAGATGCTTTAGAAGGCATTGTATAAAATGACAGCTACAGCTGGGCGCCAGTGGCTCACACCTGTAATCCTAGCTACTCAGGAGGCTGAGATCTGAGGATCACAGTTCAAAGCCAGCCTAGGCAGGAAAGTTCAGGAGACTCTTATCTCCAATTAACCACCAAAAACCGGAAGTGGTATTGTGGCTCAAAGTGGCAAGGTGCTGGACTTGAGCTGTAAAAGCTCAGGGAAAGCGCCCACGTCCAGAGTTCAAGTCCCATGACCAACAAAAACAAAACTGACAGCTCCAAGCAAGTTGCTGCTCCGAGAAGATCTTCCAATAAATAACACACAAGATGAGGAAGTGAAAGACACTGATACTGATGATGCTAATTGTGCAGGCCTCTGCTAATGTGCATTTGTGTCCTAGTGGAGATGGGAGGGAAGGGATGGTAGGGGAAAAACAAAGGAGGAGGCAACAATGCTTGATAAGAAATGTACTCATTACCTTGCTCAAATGATTGTAACTCCTCTGTACAGTCTTTTCCCAAAAAAAGACTTATTAAAAAAAAAAGCTCAACAACAGCATCCAAGCCCTAAGTTCAAGCCCCAGGACCAGCAGACACACAAAAAATGTTTATAAATAAGATTTTTTTTTTAGGTGGTACTGGGGCTTGAGCTCAGGGCTTAACACTTGAACACACTCCCAGTTCTTTCACTTTCTGGTTTCACTATTTTTTCTTGCCTTTTTCCCAGGCCAACCTAGACCACATTCTTCCCCATCTCAACCTCCTGAGTAGTTATCATTACAGATATGAGTCATCAATGCCTTGCCTAGAAGATTAATAAAATTTAATTAGGCTATACCATGTAGGCTAAGTGTACAGAAGGCTGTACTACCTATATCTAAGTACATTCCACATTCACATAATGATGAAACTGCCTAAAGACACATTTGTCAAAAACATATCTCTACAAAAAAAAAAAAAAAAATGTATCCAGATGTAGGGCACCTGCTTGCAAATGTGAAAGCCTGAGTTCAAACCCTAGCAATGCCAAAAAAGAAAACAAATCACCCAGAAATGTATCCCTGTCATTAGACTACATATGACTGTATTTCAAATACACAGAAACTAAGAGATATATCCAGAATTCAATAGTAAATTTATTTCTATGATGGGATTCTGTCGGATTTACCAAACTTTTTATACATGTAGGTATTACTTTAATGCAGAAGAAAAATTATAGTGTTCCATATTTTAAATATTTTTAGCTTTTTCTCTATTCCCTAGTATTGAAGGCTAATGAGTACTAATCACATTCCCAAATGTCTAAGAATGATCTTATACATCACTGGATGAGAAAAAGGAAAAAGAAGTCTTACAGAATGTATCCTTAATATATCTGACCATGCACAGACATATTCCCAAAGTATATAGGCCCTCAATAGAATACCAAGAAATGACACCACGAGACACAATGGTAGTTCAATGAGGTACGCTACCAAGAATGACAAGGAAAGCCTTTGAATATTTTACCAGAAAATTAATCCCAATCTCTAGAACTCAACTGTTAGGGGAGAAGCATACTTTGAGGGTATCACAGCCATGTTCTGGAGAAACTAACACTAGACATAGTTACAGTCATAAACAGAAAATTTTGTGGAATTTAAACACTTTGTCCCACTTGTGGGAGTTGGGGATCAAGAGGAGAAGGAGGGTAGACAAATGAAGAAAGGGAAGAATGCAGTCTTAATACCCAATACATATCCTGTGAAACTAGGAACACTGAGGGGAGGGTTTGGGAAGGATGGGGAAATGATGAAAGGATAATATCAATCAAGATGCACTATATTCATAACTGATTTGCTCAATGGCAACTCCTTTGTACAAACTACTTAAAGATAATAAAAATATAATTATAAAAAACACTTTGCCCCTGAATCTCTTTTAGGGTTAAGAAGTTTCTCCTAAATCTGTCTGATGAATCAAAGATTTTAGCTGACCTTCAAGGGAAAAAAATGTCCATTTCTAAGAAAATCATTCAAATTTAGACATAGTACAGACCATCTTAATTTTAATATCCTACAACTAGGTACTCTCCAAACAAAAATTTACCTTTCCTGAAACAGATTCTCCATCATAGAAGAGATAGTGCTTTTCTACTTTGCCATCTTCGGTTTTCATTTCTGCCATTTTTCTGGTTTCCTCATCATTAAGGACAACATCAATCTCACAAATGGGACCAAAAAAACCTCCAAGGAAACTCTGAAATAAAAGTAAAATACTCATAATTATCATGTTTAGTTACTCACTACATTTTATAATTCAAATTTAATTACCTGTGACCTAAAGCTAAACAGACTACAAATCTGAATTTACAAGGAAATAACATATCATTCTATGTCAAACAGAACTATGTGGAACAATGTGCATAGTTTCCAAGATTGTAATTACATACAAACATTTGTTCAACGTAGATTTCATATTGTTTTACAATTTCAAGAAACTCTCTAAAGAAATGTAAAAAATCAATACTTTCAATCATTTCCATAGGTAACCATTCTAAATAATCAGATACTAATATATCAGAAACTTAGAATTTTTTTTTTTTGCCAGTCCTGGGGCTTAAACTCAGGGCCTGGGCACTGTCCCTGAGCTTCTTTTTACTCAAGGCTAGTACTTTACCACATGAGCCACAGCACCACTTCCGGCTTTTTCTGTTCATGTGCTACTGAGGAATGGAACCCAAGACTTCATGCATGCTAGGCAAGTAATCTCTCACTAAGCCACATTCCCAGCTCCCAAACAATCAGACTTACCCCTCTATCAGTCTCCCTCTTTGTCCTCCCCCTTTGCCCCCCCGCTTTTTTTTTTGCCAGTCCTGGGGCTGGCAATGCCTGAGCCACAGCACCACTTGAGCCACAACACCACGTTCAGCTTTTTCTGTGTATGTGGTACTGGGGAATAGAACTCAGGGATTCATGAATGCTAGGCAAGCACTCTACCATGAAGCCACATTCCCAGCCCTCTCCAGCCCTCCCCCAACACTTTCTGATGTCCTTTATATTTTGGTCATAGTTAGGATTTATGGAACCATGCTTATAAAATTTTACAGCAATTTCATTAGTTTCCTAATGGAAACTTCATTATGAAGGGCTTCTCTAATGTAACACATCCTGTTCAAACTTAACATAGTAGATCTGTAGTATCTGTAGTAAGTAGCACTTTCATAGTCAATAGCATTTTATTTGTATAATAAATAGCACTTTGAAGTAATTCATTTAGGCTTGAATGAGTAATTTGTATTGTATATTAAAAGAACCTCTTAGCAGAATAATGAAAAGTAAGCCTTTTTTTTCTTTTGGTTGTATTGAGGTATGAATGTAGGGCTTTTAGTTAGCTTAGGTAGGCATTGTACTGCTGAGCCAACTGGAAAAAAAAAGATACATTGTTTGCATACATGGACATGTCAAAATGAAATCCCCTTGTACAATGAATCAATGCTAAGGAAAATCAGGAAAAATTAATCACATATGTATATAAATTGTTTATCAATACTAAAACATGTTAGTTGGCAATAACCAACTAATAATTAACAGAATTCATTAACAATCTAATACTAGTTAAGTTATAGATTTTTATTTTTATTTTTGGCTGGTTCTGTGGCTTCAGCTCTGGGATTGGGCATTGTCATTAAGCTCCTTTTTGCTCAAGGCTAGCACTCTACCACTTGATCCACAATGTCATTTCCAGCTTTGTCTGGTATTAATTGGAGGTAAGAGTCTCACACACTTTCTTGCCCAGGCTGGCTTTCAACCTTGATCCCTAGATCTTAGTATCCTGAGTAGCTAGGATTACAGGTGTGAGACGCTGGTGTCCCGCTATGTTGTTTTTTTTTTTTTTGGTCAGTCTTGGGGCTTGAACTCTGGGCCTGGACGCTGTCCCTCAGCTCTTCAGCTCAAGGCAAGTGCTCTACCACTTGAGCCATAGTATCACTTCTGGTTTTCTGGTGGTTAATTGGAAATAAGAGTCTCACAGACTTTCCTGCCCGAGCTGGCTTTCAACCACAATTCTCAGACCTCAGCCTCCTGAAAAGCTAGGATTACAGATGTGAGCCATTGGTGCCAGGCTCCATTATGGATTATTTTTATCACCTATGAAAGATACACAGGTAATGAAATTTACACAGGTAACAGTCTCCTATCATGCCATCTTACATCCCTTTTTGTCTGTTTTGTTTTTGTTTTGTTTTGTTTTTTTGGTCCAGTTGTGGGGCCTGAACTCTGGGCCTGGGTGCTGACCCTCAGCTCTTCAGCTCAAGGCTAGCACTCTACCACTTAAGCCACAGCGCTACTTCCGGCTTTTTTCTTTTTGCTTATGTGGTGCTGAGGAATCGAACCCAGGGCCTCATGCATGCAAGGCAAGCACTCTACCACTGAGCCACCTTCCCAGCCCTGTTTTGTTTTTTTTTTGTTTTTTTTTTAAGATAGAGTCCAAGTCCATGTTGTTCAAGCTGGAGGAACTCAAGGGACTCAGGTTATCCTTCCAACTTAGCTGGGACTACATGTGCAAACCACTGCATGGATTCCTATAGCTCCTCCTTATGCTTCCCTACAAAAACCTAAAGCAATGTTTTTTTTTTGTTTTTTTTGGTTCCGGTCGTGGGGCCTGAACTCTGGGCCTGGGCGCTGTCCCTCAGCTCTTCAGCTCAAGGCTAGCGCTCTACCACTTGAGCCACAGCTCCACTTCCGGCTTTTTTCCTTCTGCTTACGTGGTGCTGAGGAATCGAACCCAGGGCCTCAGGCATGCAAGGCAAGCGCTCTACCACTGAGCCACCTTCCCAGCCCCCTAGAGCAATGTTTTTAAGCATTAATTTCATCATTATTATTCAATGTCTATGTTCTTTCTCCAACAACTCATCAGATTTTCCAATTTCCTTCTTGCCCTAGAATCAAGCAAAATACCTTAACTAATTCATTCATCCTCGGAATTTCAGAATGGCTATTTCCATAAGGCTTTCCCTAACTCAATAATCCAAGTTGAATTTTCTAAACTTAGGTCTCACAGGATGACTTTATTTAATCTTACTCTACTACTGGCCTTGATCATTTATCCTTTGCTCATCACTGAAGACACAATGTTAGCCAGACACTGGTGGCTCATGCCTGTAATCTTAACTACTCAGAAGGCCGAGATCTGGGCTGGGAAGGTGGCTCAGTAGTAGAGAGCTTGCCTTCCATGCCTGAAGCCCTGGGTTTGATTCCTCAGCACCACATAAGCAAAAAGAAAAAAGCCAGAAGTGGCACTGTAGCTCAAGTGGTAGAGCGCTAGCCTTGAGCTGAAGAGCTGAGGGACAGCACCCAGGCCCAGAGTTCAGGCCCCACGACCGAATTCCCCCCCCCCCCCCATAAAAAAAGGAAAAAGAAGAAAAAAGAAGGCTGAGATCTGAGGATCCTGGTGCAAAGGCAGCCCTGACAGAAAAGTCCCCCTGAGATTCTTATCTCTGATTAACCACTCAAAACCTGGAAGTGGCACTATGGCTCAAGGGGTAGAGCATGAGCCTTGAGCACGAAGAGGCTCAGGGACAGTGCTCAAGTCCTGAGTTAAAGCCCCACAACTGACCAAAAAAAAAAAAAAGTGCTAAAAGCAGTGTGGCATTCAAGCAGTTGAATGTTAAATTAATGCTTAATACACATATCAAACTAATATGGAAAAAAGTCTAATATGGAAAAAAAAGATACATACTTAAAAAAAAAACTGGCTGAAATCTGGAAGGATTGGGTAAATAAAACTAGTCCTTCTAAGCAATTAGCATTAACAGGGTAGCAAAGTCTAAAGTACTAAACTTGCATTAAGTCTCAGGTCTGTCCTTGGAGGTAGCCAGGTAACAACAAACACACAGAGCCTCCTAAGGCTCATAGGTGATAGTCACAGGTGATACTAAAATGAAGTTAAGAATGTTCTCAAATTTTAGGTTTCTTTGTTTTCATTACTCTTATATTTCTGAGGGAGGGGGGGGTCCAGTTGTGTGGCCTGAACTCTGGGCCTGGGCGCTGTCCCTCAGCTCTTCAGCTCAAGGCTAGTGCTCTACCACTTGAGCCACAGTGCCACTTCCGGCTTTTTTCTTTTTGCTTATGTGATTCTGGGGAATGGAACCCAGGGCCTCATGCATGCAAGGCAAGCGCTCTACCACTGAGCCACCTTCCCAGCCCCTCATTACTCTCATATTAACAAGTGAGATTATGGTTTCAAGAAAACTACTGAAGCTAGGCACCAGTGGTTCATGCCGGTAATCCTAGCTACTCAGGAGGCTGAGACCCTCCGATCTCAGGTAAAAGCCAGCTCAGGCAGAAAAGTCTGTGAAAGTCTTATCTCCAGTTAACAACCAGAAACTGGAAATGGTACTGTGGCTCAAGTGGCAGGGCACCTGCCTTGAGCCAAAGAGTTGAGGGATAGGGCCCAGGCCCAGAGTTCAAGCCCCATGACCAACAAAAGAAAAAAGAAAAAAAGAAAAGAACTGAATCACCACATTAGTACTTCTGACATATTCCAAAGACACATCTTTATTCTTTATGATGTGATACTTTAATCCTTCTGGCAACATTATAATTTGTAATCAGAAGACTAATTTTGACCAGAAGTATAATAACTATTTTAGAAAAGAGAGAATGAAAAACATGAAACAGAGGTTATTTGCACTACCCATTTCCAGTCAGCTTTTTTTTTTTTTTTAAAGGTAGCAACAGTTAAATCCAGAGCCTCATTTGTACTAGGAAAGCTTTCTACCACTGTGCTACAACCTCTACCCCTTTTAAAATTTTGAGACAGTGTCTCATCAAGTAGCAGACTGGTCTCAAACTTGGGATTCTCCTGCTTCAGCTTCCAAAGCAGATGAGGTTATAAACTGTGCCATCATACCCAGTACCTTAGTTGATTTCACTCTTCAATTCAAAATTTGCTCAAAATGGTAAATTTTTCAACAGTACATTTTCTCATGAGATGCATAGCAACTCAAAACTAATCAGTACTTACTAATAGCCAGAAGGGAGGGAAACTGCTGTGAGAAAACTGCAAACAGATGAAAGGCAACATTTACAAGGAGCTACCTACTTTATATGGGGAAGCAAAGTCCAACGCATTAAAAGATATGTCAAGGCCAGGTACTGACATTATCTAGCTACATTATCTACCTACTCAGAAGCCTGAGATCTGCGAATTGCAGTTCAAAGCCAGCCCAGGCAGGAAAGTCCGTTGGGACTTATCTCCAATTAACCACCATAAAATTGGACGTGGCACCATGCCTCAGAGAGATAGTATGCCAGCCTTGAGCAAAAAGAGCTGGGAGACAGAACCCAAGTCCCAAGTTCAAACCCTACAACATACAAAAAAAAAGAAAGAAAGATATTGTCAATTCTCAATGGGAATAAATGAGCTCTTCTTCCTTGAAGACACTCACATGAGTTCATCTGAGTTGCAACTTAAAAGTAGGTAACTAAATATTCATTTCCTCCTCTAACTTGATACTTTTCCTAGAGCTACTTCAAGGAAAAATATAACTATAAAAATTGTTTTACAGCTAGGCACTGGTAGCTCACACCTGTAATCCTAGTTACTTAGGAGACTGAGATCTGAGAATCAAAGTTCAAAGCCAGCCCTGGCAAGAAAGTCTATTAGACTCTTCAATTAACCACCAGAAAACCGGAAGTGGTGCTGTGGCTCAAGTGGTAGAGCGCTCGCCTTGAGCTGAAGAGCTCAGGGGCAGCAGCGCCCAGGCTCAGAGTTCAAGCCCCATGACCAAAAAAAAAGGCTACTTTTTTCCACATATACTTTATAATACATTAAATTGTCCTTGGTATTTGAAAACTGACACTTAAAAGACCAAATAATCAAAAATTACATGCAATTAAGCAAAAATTAAAACTGCCATTAAAGTTGCTAACATACACAGTTTTACAAAACTTCACAACTAAGAAACAATAAGTATTATTCTGGCATAATTTTTGGGGGGGTGTATACATGTATGAGACATGAATTCATGCTTCAAGCTCTCCCAAGACTTTCTTGCTCACAGCTCACAGGGCTTTAGCCTGACACAATTTTTAAAACCTTTTAAATTCATAGGAATTAAAAATGTATGCAAAAACTATGTGTTATATACTTTTTTTCTTGTCTGTACTAGGGACTAGGATTTAAACTTAGGGCCTGCACTTCTTCAGCTGGTGCTCTATTATTGGAACCATGTCTCTAAACTGGCTTTTGGCTGGGTTGGGGGGGAAGGAGAAGAGATCCAGGGCTTGAACTCAGGGCCTGGAAGCTGTCCATTAGCTTTTCTGCTCAAGGCTATAGCAGTCTACCACTTGAGCCCCAGCTCTACTTCTGGTTTCTTTAGTGGTTAATTGGAGGTAAGAGTCTTAAGATTTTCCTGATTGGACTGGCTTCCCACCACAATCTTCAGATTTCAGCCTCCTAGGATTATAGGCAGGAGCAACTAGATGCTGGCTTTGGCTGATTATTTGGAGATGCAGTCTCAAGAACTATACTTACAAATTGGAACACTTTAATAAATTAACTATACCCTTAAAAACTAGCAAACAAACTACTTTTAGTCACTAAGAAACCTCCAGAAAATTATGGATGCCTCGTATTTAACAAGTCAATGACAGAAAGAAAAAATACAACTTTGCTGTCGTTTTGGTGTTCTTTCTAAAGGGAAATAAAAGCTTTTTTTTGGGGGGGGGGGTTGGTTTGTATTGGTAGTATGGGTTATTTTGTTTTTGAGACAGGGTCTCATTCGGTACCTCAGGCTGTCCTGGAGCTACATAGGTAGCTCAAACTGACCTCCAACTTCTAAATGCTGAAATGACAAGCATGCACGAGCCTACCTGGCTTAACAAAAACATTCTCCACCTGAAGTCTTGCTTTCAAATATTTTATTTCAAGATCTGCATAGTCTACTATTTCAAATAAAAAAGTTATGAAATTCAATTTTGGGGAACTGGGAATGTGGGAATGTGTAGAGTACTTGCTTAGCATGCATGAAGCCCTGGGTTTGATTCCTCAGTACCACATAAACAGAAAAAGGCAGAAGTGGCCCTGTGGCTCAAGTGGTAAGAGTGCTAGCAAGCTCAGGGATAGTGTCCTGACCCTGAGTTCAAGCCCCATGACTAGGAAGGAAAGGAGGAAGGGAGGAAAGGAGGAAGGGAGGAAAGGAGGAAAGGAGGAAGGAAGGAAGGAAGGAAGGAAGGAAGGAAGGAAGGAAGGAAGGAAGGAAGGAAGGAAGGAAGGAAAAGAAAGAAATGAAGGGAGGGAGGGATGAAGGGAGGGAGGGAGGAAGGAAGGGAGGGAGGGAGGAAGGAAAGGAGGGAGGGAGGGAGGGAGGGAAGGAGGGAGGGAAGGAGAGCGAAGGAAAGAGGAGACAGCCAATTTTGTAGTTTTGGTTTTGTTTTTTTTTTGGGGGGGGGGGGGGTCGGTCGTGGGGCACTGGGCACTGTCCCTCAGCTCTCAGCTCAAGGCCAACACTCTACCACTTGAACCACAGTGTCACTTCAGGTCTTCTAGTGGTTAACTGGAGATAAGAGTCTCATGGACTTTCTTGCCCAAGCTGGCTTTTAACTGAGATCCTCAGATCTCAGCCTCCTGAGTAGCTAGGATTACAGGTGTGAGCCACCAGCGCCCATCTAATTTTGTATTTTTTTTTCAAAACCAAATTATAATACTTCTGACATATTAAATAAGTGAAATACAGGGAGAGAATAAAAATGTAAAGAGAGTTAGCATTCACTAATGTGAACTGATACCAAAATTACAGTGATTTTGAGTTCATTTAAGTTAAAGAATACTGCTCAGTTCTTTTGGAAAAGACAGCTTCAAGTTAACAATCACAGTGGATTTTTGTACTGGGGAGGTTAAGGCAGAAGGAGAGGAAGTGTCGTGTCAGGCCAGGCCAGGCCAGGTGCTCAGTGGTGAAGTACTTGCCTAATGTGGAAGGCTCTGGGTTCCAGACTCAGCACCACAACAAAAAAATTTTTTTTCCAAGGACTAGCCAATTAATAAACAAGTTGAGGCTCTTCAGTAACTTATAAATAACTACACTAAAATATATATTACTAACAAAACCTTCTGATACTTGTTTTTACAAGTTTTCTGTTAGCCTAATCCTCCCATCACTGAAGTTAGGTTAATTTAAGTTTTTGCAAATAATTTGTAAACCCTGTAGCAAGCATTAACATCTAGCAAAATTATGTATTAATATATAATCAAAAAGCTTTTTCATTCTAAGAAATTTAGTCCAGTGGCTAAAATAAAGTGGAGGGGAAATGAAATGGAGGTTTTCAGAATTTATTTCACACAACCTACACACAATGAAACAGCACATTTTCATACATACGTTGCAGATGAGTCCATCTCAATGTTTCAAAGCTTCACAATTTCATTCGTGTTTAACGAGTTACTAATTACACGCGGGCAAAAACTGGGAGGACAAGCTTTCTTTTAAAATTATAGTTAAAGAAGTCTTCCCTAACTCCCGGACAGGCAAGGTCTCCCAGTTCCTTTTTTCTCCGAATTTATCACAATTGTAATTCCACTTTAAACTCATTTATACATAAATTATTACCTCTCCCTAGACTGTAAGTTATCAAAGAGTAAGTAGTTTTGCTTCACCCGGTATACACCCAAGTATTCCTCGAATGAAAGGGAAAAAAAAGCTCTAGGAATGAACACATTTTTTTTAAAATTAAATCAATACAATTATTACCTCTGAAAAGCGGTTATTACAATACGATTTCTGCCTTTAATGTATATTCCAAATAGCTAGGGTTTTCCTTTTTTATTTTTAAATTAACTTGGCGTGGCCTTCACCAAAAGTATCTAGCCATTTCTTGAACTGGTGAACTTTAGGAAGAGGCAGAATCCAGGAGAGCACACAGTAGGTGCTCAAGGTGGACGTGCCACGGGTCCTGAGTTCGGGGCTGAGTCACACGGGGAAGGGAGGCACGCAGAGAAGCTCCCACCCACGGATCCCCACCGGGACCCCAGGATGGCTGCGACTCGGGTGTCCCCCCTGGGTGGCAGGGCAACTGCAACATCGCCGAGCGCCAACTTAGACGTATAAGGGCTCCACCAGGAAGAGAGAGAGCCAGTGGAATTGGCCGCCTCCAACTACAGAGTTTGGGGTGAACGCCGCTCCCCACGCCGACACCCTTTTCCTCCTCGTCTCTCCAGTTCTACAAGTGTCACCAGCCAGCCTCCACTGGAGGCCACGGAAGCGCAGGACGTCCACCCGTCCGGGTTAAAAAAAATATACCACAGTTTATCAAGCTCGTGACCCAGAGATAGGAATCAAGTCCTGCCAGAGTGCGGGACTGAGGGGCTCCCGGGCCCCCCAACCGCGCACGGAAGCAGCGCAGCCAGGAAGCCGCGGAGGGAGCGGCACAAGGACCGGCTACCTTGGGAGAGGAGGCGGCCGCGAGCGCCCGCGCAGGCGGGGTCCGGGTGCCCAGCCAGGGCCCCCACAGCCGGTCGAGGAAAGTGGGCAGCGGCTCCGACATGGCCCGAAGAGCTTGCCGCCGTCCGCAGGTGCTCGGGCCTGGCCCGGACCGGGAAGAGGTGGCGCCGCCCCGCTCCCCGGCCCCGTGGTAGCCAGACAGGCCTAACCCGCTCCGCGCCCAGCGCGCCCGCCCCTTCCTACTCCGACCCGGCTCCTGCCGTTGGCCGCTCCGCCGCCGCGCGCACCGAGGCCCGGACGGGAGACAGCCACGCAGGCCGCCGCGCACTCACCATTGTCAAAGCCGCCGCCGCCGCCGCGTCCCCCCCCCACTTCACTCGGCTTCCCCCAGAAGAACTCCCGGACCGGTTCCCTCCACCAGGACGCCCCGTCACGTGACCCCAGGCAGCCCACCGCACGTGACCACTGCGCTCCTTCCCGCCCCTCCCCTGCACCGGGGGCTCCGCCCGAGCCTCTCGCCCCGCCCCCCTGGCCCTGCCGGGCCCTCCAGGAAGGCCGTTTAGAGGCGGGGCTTCGTACCCCTCCTTTCGGCCGCAGGGGGCGGAGCCTCTGTGATGACGTTATGGGCGGGGCCTTAGGTAGATCGCTTTCGGCATCCCCCGTCCGGGGGGCGGGGCCCCCACCCGCTGGCTGGATCACGTGACGGGCAGTGGGGTGGTGGGGCTCCTGGGCCACGCCCAGTTCGTCCGCCCCGCGCAAGTTTTGGGGGCTAGCGAAGGAGGAGGTTCTCTTTCTCTGGACTGCTGGGTTAAAAGGGCGGCCTGCTTAGGAGACCTGCTCCCTTCCTGGGGTGGGGGGCCTTTTATCTGCCAAGGGCCATTTGGGTATTTGTAACGTCGTTTCGGGCCATAGGAAATAATCGGTTCGCGCAGATGGCCTAGAGCCGTCGAGAAGAATCTGTGTGTCCCTCCTTCTTGTGCCAAGGGATTTCCGGGATTTAGCGAGCAGATCGGCCAGCAGAAGGGTCCCCACCTCTCCTGACCGCGATGCACTCCCCTCCCCTCCTCTCCCCCATTGAGGGTTTCTGTTTTGAAAACTCCGTAGCTTTCTCGCCTCTGAAGAATAGAACAATATGAAAAAAAAAAAATCACAGAGACCCTATCCGTTGCTTCCCCAAGTCCACGGGTAGCTCGGTGACTCCTCTACTCCAGTCTGACCTTCTAGTAAGAGAGAAAGTCCCTGGAGCTGGCAAATACCGAGTGCTTAATTATGGTGCAAACCTAGAGGACCTCCAGAGAAATGCAGTATTGTTCAGGCAGCACATACACTCCAAACACAACCAAAGCAGAAAAAAAAATATCTCATATAACAGCAGCAACAACAAAGGTCTGTAAAGGAAGTCTCAAATTTGAAAGGATTGAAATTGGAGTATAGCTTCAACCAACCATGATATAATTAAACTAGATATTTAATGACATCAAAAAGCTAGAATGGGGCTGGGAAGTTGGCTCAGTGGTAGAGTGCTTGCCTCCCATGCATGAGGCCCTGGGTTCGATTCCTCAGCACCACATAAGCAGAAAAAACAAAGTGGTGCTGTGGCTCAAGAGGTAAAGCGCTAGCCTTGAGCTGAAGATGTGAAGGACAGTGCCCAGGCCCAGAGTTCAGCCCCCATGACCGGATCCAAAAAAAAAAAAAAAAAAGCTAGAATGTTCCAATATTTGGAAAGCAGGCAACATAATTCTAAACCTCTAGGTTAAAAAGAGATCAAGAAGAGGCCTGGGAATGTGGTGACATGGTAGAGCACTTGCCTAGCATGTTGGAAAACCTAGGTTCAATCCCAGCACACACACACACACACACACACACACACACACACACACAAAGAGATCAATGGGGATGTAAATAGTTTGAAGTAAAATATATTAGTTTGAACTAACATCAGAGACTGAAGTCCTAGCCTGAGCACTAGAATGCTTGTGAAGCATGTGCAAAGCCCTAAGTTCAGTTCTCGATACCCTAAAAATTCTTAAATTTGGGGGGAAAAGTGTTAAAAAATGAATATGAATATGTCTCTATGTGAGGAAGCTTCTTTGTTTGTGTACAGGAGATTGAACCCAGGACCCTCCCCCACCATGCTAAGGAAGTGCTCAACTATTTGAGCCACCACCTTGTTTGTATTTTGTTTTAAATATGGGGTCTCCTTATGTAGTCCAGGCTGGTCTCAAACTTTCCATTTCCTGCCTCTGCCTCCCAAGTGCAGGGATTACTGGTGAGTCCCATCTGACTAGGAGACCTTTTTTTGAGGGGGGGGGGGGTCCAGTCATGGGGCCTGAACTCTGGGCCTGGGCACTGTCCCTCAGCTCTTCAGCTCAAGGCTAGTGCTCTACCACTTGAGCCACAGCGCCACTTCCAGCTTTTTATATGTGGTGCTGAGAATCGAACCCAGGGCCTCAGGCATGCAAGGCACGCACTCTACCACTGAGCCACCTTCCCAGCTCATAGGAGACCTTTTTATAAACAATTTACTAGCCTCTGTTTTGTTATTGTTTCATTTTGTGGTGCCAAGTGCTCTCACTGAGTTACATCTCTAGCCTACAAGTAATTTTTTTTCTTTCTTTCTGAGGAAACTTTTTTTAAAGTAAATTAACATGTGGATAGAGAAAGCATATAATTCAATTTTGCTGTGAACTTAAAACTATGCTTTAAAAATAGCCTACTTTGGGGCCTGGGAAGGTGGCCCAGTGGTAGAGTGCAGGCCTCGCATGCATGAGGCCCTGGGTTTGATTCCTCAGCACCACATACATGGAAAAAGCTGGAAATGGTACTGAGGCTCAAGTGGTAGAATGCTAGCCTTCAGCTCAAGAGCTGAGGGACAGTGTCCAGCTCCAGTGTTCAAGCACCATGACTGGCATAAATAAGTAAATAAATAAACAGCCTGCTTTTTTAAAGCTTTTTCATCAAGTAACTTTGACCAACGCGCCCAAACAACTCAATGACAAAATGACAGTCTCCTCAAAAATTAGGTTGTGGCCAGACACCAGTGGCTCACACCTGTAATCCTAGCTACTCAGGAGGCTGAGATCTGAGGATCACAGTTCAAAGCCAGCCTGGGCAGGAAAGTCTGTGAGACTCTTTATTTCCAGTAAACCACCAGAAAACCAGAAGTCGTGCAGTGGCTCAGGTGGTAGCCTTGAGCTGAAGAGCTCAGTGAGTTTAAGCCCAAGACTGACCAAAAAAAAAAAAGAAGGTTGGTTGCCTGATATCCAGCCTGTAATATAGCTATTTAGGAGGCTGAGACTTGATAATCATGGTTCAAAGCCAGCTGAGGAAGAAAAGTCCAGGAGATTCTATCTCCAATTAGCCATCAAAATACCAGACTGGATATATGGCTTAAGGGGTAGTGTGCCAGGTATAAGCAAAGAAGACAAATGAGATTGTGAGACCCTGAGTTCAAGCTCTATGTCAACACACACACACACACACACACACACACACACACACACACACACTGTATGTTGGTCTTGGTTTGGGAGTTTGGCAGTACTGGGGTAATATCTTAGAGCCTTCTGCATGCTAGACAAGTGTTGTACCACTTGAAGCAAATGTTAATCCTTTTGGGTCACATGCTTTTTCCCAGGCTGGCCTCACACCTCAATACTCTACTTCATCTTCCTAAGTAGTTGCAATTGCAGGTATATACTACAGTGCCAAGCCCTATATGTGACTTTTCTTTATTGACTTTGTATCTTGAAGCTTTTCTAAATTTCCTTGGTGATTTCCCTCCATCTTTTTCCTCTCTCTTACTGGATCTTGTGTTTCTTTACACTGCTAGGAATTGAACCCAGAGCCTCATGCATGCTAGGCAAGCACACTTCCACTGAGTTAAATCCCCAGTCCTCCTCTTTGGTCTTCTATTAGTTATCTGCTGAACTTCCGAATTGACTTTTCTTGTTTTTCTCTCCTATTTCCCATCTATTTTTTTTTAATACTAGGCCTTGGTATATAGTCCAGGCTGGCCTCAAATTTGTCCTCTTCTTGCTAAAGCCTCCTAAGTGCTGATATTGCAAGTATGTGCTATCCTGTTCAACCTTTTTGTTCTCCCACATGATTTCCCCATCTCCTGCTGCAACACTTGGAGTGATTTTTTTAATTACCATATAATGTAGCCAGTACCTATTGTGGCCCTCAATGACCCTTGCCTTCCAGTATTTGTGCCCTTGTAAAATCCCTTCTCAAATTCGGGTGGGTTTGTGTGACCAATTGAAGTGGTGATGTATGATTTCTGAAACTGCTGCTGACTTGCTTCTTCTTGGATCCCTCAGTCATGAAGAAGTCAGATGGCCTCTCATGTATCCCAACAGAGAGGTGTTCAGACTCTGAGCCAGCTATGTGAGGTTGCCAGCTTGTGTTCTGGGAGTCCTGTTTCATTAATATATTGTCTTTGTTGAAGACACACAAAACACTAGCAATCAACATCAAGCGTTGAAAAGTGTCAATTTGAGCAGACCTCACTGGAACAATTTCTTCCATAACAAAATAGCTGAAGGGTGGGGGCGGGGCTGGGAAGGTGGCTCAGTGGTAGAGCGCTTGCCTTGCATGCATGAGGCCCTGGGTTCAATTCCTCAGCACCACATAAGCAGGGAAAAAAAAGCCAGAAGTGGCGCTGTGGCTCAAGTGGTAGAGCGCTAGCCTTGAGCTGAAGAGCTGAGGGACAACACCCAGGCCCAGAGTTCAGGCCCCACAACCGGCAAAAAAAAAAAAAAATAGCTGAAGGGTTTTTGTTGTTGTTGTTTCAGTCCTGGGGCTTGAACTCTGGGCCTGGGCACTGTCTTTGAGCTCTTCAGCTCAAAGTGAGCACACCTCTACCACCTGAGCCACAGTGCCACTTCCTGTTTTCTGGTGGTTTATTGCAGATAAGAGTCTAACAGACACCTGCCCAGGCTGGCTTTGAAAAGTAATCCTCAGATCTCAGCTTCCTGAGTAGCTAGGATTACAGGCATGAGCCACCAGCACCCAGCTCTGAATGGTTTTAAAAATAAATTTCCTACTTCTTCCAGACTAATGCTACATCATATTCAGCCATTAAAGATGGGAGTGTAGGGGCTGGGAAGGTGGCTCAGTGGTAGAACGCTTGCCTTGCATGCATGAGGCCCTGGGTTCAATTCCTCAGCACCACATAAGCAAAAAGAAAAAAGCCGGAAGTGGCGCTGTGGCTCAAGTGGCAGAGGGCTAGCCTTGAGCTGAAGAGCTGAGGGACAGCGCCCAGGCCCAGAGTTCAGGCCCCATGACTGGACCCCCTCCCCAAAAAAAGATGGGAGTGTAACTGATGAGACCTGAACCCAGAAATATCTATCAGTGGTTCTCGGAGCTGCTGGGGGTGGGGATTAGGGGGGTGTTATTTGGAGATGTCTGGAGACTTTCTGGTTTCCAGTTAGGAGGAGGAGGATTCTGG